GGTCATAGAAGAAATCAAAAGAGAAATCAAAAACTTTCTGGAAGTAAATGAGGATAACAGCACAACATACCAAAACTTATGGGATACAGCAAAAGCAGTGTTAAGAGGAAAGTTCATATCAATAGGTGCCTACATCAAGAAACTGGAAAGGCACCAAATAAATGAGCTTTCAATTCATCTCAAGGACCTAGAAAATCTGCAGCAACCAGGCCCAAAAATCTATTAGGAGGAGAGAAATAATTAAAATCAGAGAAGAACTCAATAGGATTGAATCCAAAAAAAAAAAAAATTACAAAAAAATCACCCAAATGAGGAGCTGGTTTTTTGAAAAAGTAAACAAAATTGACACCCCATTGGCCCAACTAACTAAAAAAAGAAGAGAAAAGACCCAAATCAATAAAATCAGAGATGAAAAAGGAAATGTAACAACAGACACCACAGAAATAAAAAGAATCATCAGAAATTACTACAAGGACTTGTATGCCAGCAAACAGGGAAACCTATCAGAAATGGACAGATTCCTGGACACATGCAACCTAACTAAATTGAACGAGGAAGACATAGAAAACCTAAACAGACCCATAACTGAGACAGAAATTGAAACAGTAATAAAGGCCCTCCCAACAAAGAAAAGCCCAGGACCAGATGGATTCACTGCTAAATTCTACCAGACATTTAAAGAATAACTAACTCCAATTCTCCTCAAACTATTCAGAACAATCGAAAAAGATGGAGTCCTCCCAAATTCTTTCTATGAAGCCAGCATCACCTTAATCCATAAGCCAGAGAAAGATGCAGCATTGAAAGAAAATTACAGACCAATATCCCTGATGAACATAGATGCAAAAATCCTCAATAAAATTCTCGCCAATAGAATACAACACATCAGAAAAATCATCCACCCAACCAGGTGGGATTTATCCCTGGTATGCAGCAATGGTTCAATGTTTGCAAATCAATCAATGTGATACACCACATTAACAGATCGCAGAGGAAAAACCATATGATTATCTCAATAGACGCCGAGAAAGCATTTGATAAAATTCAACACCAGTTCATGATGAAAACTCTAAGTAAATTGGGTATGGAAGGAACATTCCTCAATACAATCAAGGCAATTTATAAAAAACCCATGGCCAACATCCTATTGAATGGGGAAAAGTTGGAATCATTTCCACTGAGATCTCATACCAGACAGGGATGCCCACTCTCACCACTGTTGTTCAATATAGTTCTGGAAGTCTTAGCCAGAGCTATTAGGCAAGAAAAAGAAATTAAAGGAATACAAATTGGAAAGGAAGAACTCAAACTATCCCTCTTTGCAGATGATATGATTCTTTATTTAGGGGATCCAAAGAACTCTACTAAGAGACTACTAGAACTCATAGAAGAGTTTGGCAAAGTAGCAGGGTATAAAATCAATGCACAAAAATCAACAACTTTTGTATACACAGGCAATGCCACAGCTGAGAAAGAACTTCTAAGATCAATCCCATTCACAATAGCTACAGAAGCAATCAAATACCTTGGAATAACCTTAACCAAGGACGTCAAAGATCTCTATGATGAGAATTACAAAATCTTAAAGAAAGAAATAGAAGAGGATACCAAAAAATGGAAAAATCTTCCATGCTTATGGATTGGAAGAATCAACATCATCAAAATGTCCATTCTCCCAAAAGCAATTTATAGATTCAGTGTGATACCAATCAAGATACCAAAGACATTCTTCACAGATCTGGAAAAAATGATGCTGAAATTCATATGGAGATGCAAGAGATCTCGAATAGCTAAAGCAATCTTGTACAACAAAAACAAAGCTGGAGGCATCACAATATCAGATTTCAGGACATACTACAAGGCAGTTGTTATCAAAACAGCATGGTACTGGTACAGAAACAGATGGATAGACCAATGGAACAGAATTGAAACACCAGAAATCATTCCCAACATCTACAGCCAACTTATATTTGATCAAGGATCCAAAACCAATTCCTGGAGCAAGGACAGTCTATTCAATAAATGGTGCTGGGAAAACTGGATTTCCACGTGCAGAATCATGAAGCAAGACCCCTACCTTTCACCTTACAGAAAAATTCACTCAACATGGATTAAAGACCTAAATCTATGACCCGACACCATCAAATTATTAGAGAACATTGCAGAAACCCTGCAAGATATAGGTACCGGCAAAGACTTCTTGGAAAAGAACCCGGAGGCACAGACAGTCAAAGTCAAAATTAACTATTGGATATGCATCAAATTGAGAAGTTTCTGTACTGCAAAAGAAACAGTCAGGAGAGTGAAGAGGCAACCGACAGAATAGGAAAAAATATTTGCAAACTATGCAACAGTTAAAGGGTTGATAACCAGAATCTACAATGAGATCAAGAAACTCCACAACAACAAAACAAACAACCCACTTGAGAGATGGGCCAAGGACCTCAATAGACATTTTTCAAAAGAGGAAATCCAAATGGCCAACAGGCACATGAAAAAATGTTCAAGATCACTAGCCATCAGGGAAATGCAAATCAAAACCACAATGAGGTTTCACCTCACCCTGGTTAGAATGGCTCACATACAGAAATCTACCAACAACAGATGCTGGTGAGGATATGGGGAAAAAGGGACACTAAGCCACTGTTGGTGGGAATGCAAACTGGTCAAGCCACTATGGAAGTCAGTCTGGCGATTCCTCAGAAACCTGAATATAACCCTACCATACAACCCAGCCATCCCACTCCTTGGAATTTATCCAAAGGAAATCATGTTGGCAAACGAACAAGCTGTCTGCACATTAATGTTTATTGCAGCTCAATTCACAATAGCTAAGACCTGGAATTAACCCAAATGCCCATCAACAGTAGATTGGATAAAGAAATTATAGGACATGTACTTTATAAAATACTATACAGCAGTCAAAAACAATGCAATCCGGTCATTGGCAACAAAGTGGAGGAATCTGGAAAACATCATGCTGAGTGAATTAAGCCAGTCCCAAAGGGACAAATTTCATATGTTCTCCCTGATTGGTGACAACTAACCAACCACAAAAAAGGAAATCTGTTGAAGTGAAAGGGACACTATGAGAAACAGTGACGATCAGCCCTTGTCCTGACTGTTGATGTACAATTTAATATTTTATCCCTTTTAGTATTTTTTTGTTCTAGTTAATACTATTGGTTAAACTCTGTAATTAACACACATTTATTCTTAGGTGTTTAAATTTAACTGAAAAGTGATCCATGTTAAATATAAGAGTGGGAATAAGAGAGGGAGGAGATGTACAATTTGGGACATGGTCAATCGGACTTGCCCCCAAATGGTGGAGTTAGAAATGTGCCAGGGGATTCCAATACAATCCTATCAAGATTGCATGTACCAAAGCCATCTCACTAGTCCAAGTGATCAATTTTAGTTCACAACTGATCACACTGATAGGTCTGAGTCAAAGGGATCACACAAACAAGACTAGTGTCTGCAAATACTAACTGATAGAATAAAAAAGGGAGAGAACGATCCAAAATGGGAAGTGGGATACACAGCAGACTCATAGAATGGCAGATTTCCTAAATAGCACTCTGGCCTCAGAATCAGCCCTTAAGGCATTCAGATATGGCTGAAGAGCCCATGAGAGTATTTCAGGCATGAAAAGCCAAGACACTCTGGCAAAAAAAACAAAACAAAACAAAACAAAAACAAACAAACAAACAAAAAAAACCACCACCCTAAATGAAAGATCTCTGCAAGTGAGATCTCAAAGGAGGAGGTACCTTTCTCTGAAGGGAGGAGAGAACTTTCACTTTGACTATGACCTTGTCTAAATAAGATTGAAGTCAGTGAACTCAAGAGGCTTCCATAGCCTTGGCAACTAATGACTAGAGCCTAGGGAGATTTCTGATGCCATAAACAAGAGTGTCAAATTGCTAAATCAACAACAGGAGTCACTGTGTACTTAATCCTCATGTGGGATCTGTCCTTAATGTGTTGTCCAATGTGAATTAATGCTATAACTAGTACTCAAACAGTATTTTACACTTTATGCTCTGTGTGGGTGCAAACTGATGAAATCTTTACTTAATATATACTAAATCAATCTTCTATATATAAAGATAATTGAAAATGAATCTTGATGTGAATGGAATGGGAGAGGGAGCAGGAGATGGGAGAGGTGCGGGTGGGAGGGAAGTTATGGGGGAGAATAGCCATTGTAATCCATAAACTGTACTTTGGAAAATTATATTTACTAAATAAAAGTTTAAAAGAAAATAACAATAAAAAAAAAGAAATACAGAGTAAGTTGCATCATGGAGCTTACTAGAAAACAGAAGAAAATTCAGAGGCTCAAAGAGAATGGAGAACGGAGAAGAGGAAGTAAATCCAGGGCTGAAGGCACTTCTCTGCTGGGGGCATTTGCCAATGCCAGGAGGATAGTCCTTGGATGTAATGGTCTCCCAAGACAGCACCTGAGGCCCTTTTCAGTGTGGGAATGAAGACGTTTCTATCAAACTGGGACCCTCAAAAGACTTCACCAGCAAAGGGAAAAAAAGAAGTTTGTCAGGGCTAAAGTTTGGGTGGAAGAAAATATCTCTCACCTGAATTACAGACATATAATTCTCTTACATGGGATTTGGGACCCAATCTACACTACCTTGATAGGTTGAATTTGAGTTATACAAAAAAGAAGGCCAAAGATTCTTCGAAAGTGTTTGGTGTTTGACTTGAAAAACTGGAAAAATGGAATCACCTACATAAGAGAATGGAAGTTTCAAGTGGGGATTGTTTGAGGCAGATGATAAGATCAGTGTTAAGCAGGTCTGCTGTGCCTCATGGACATCTAAGTGGAGGCATCTATTATGTAGGTGGATTTGTGAGTCTAGAGTTGTGGAGAAAAGAATGGGTGGGAGAGATACATCTAGGAGTAGCTGGTTTGACAATTGAACTTTAAAACTAGAAGAAATTGCCATCTGTAGATAGAAAAACAAGACCATACTTACCTTAGAGACTCTTCACTATCACGAGGTAAAGAAGAGAGGCAGAATATAGCAAGAAGACCTAGAAGGAACAGAAGAAGGAAAATGTGCAAACATGAGTTAGAAAGTACAAAGAAATGAGATTGCAAGCAAAATGGTGCAAAATATATAAATACTGAGGAAAAAATTTAATAACATGAGAGATTTTTAAGAAAGCACTCTTCTTTTAAAAATTCATCCCATCACCTTTTAAAGCCTTTTAAGATGGTAATACACAGTAAAGAACAAAAATAAGGGGATAGGACAAAATCTATAGGAAAAGTTATATTTATAATTTAGCATATTTAATATATGCCTGAAAGTCTAGGAGAATGTATAAAAGATTTATGATCAGTGATTAACACAAAACTGATTACTCAGTTTTTACATTATAAACATCTGCATGATTGGATTTTTACCATGAGCACATGTAAACATTATTAACAAAGTTAGAATTTTTTTTTTTTTTTTGACAGACAGAGTGGACAGTGAGAGAGAGAGACAGAGAGAAAGGTCTTCCTTTGCCGTTGGTTCACCCTCCAATGGCCGCTGTGGCCGGCGCACTGCGGCCGGCGCACCACGCTGATCCGATGGCAGGAGCCAGGTACTTATCCTGGTCTCCCATAGGGTGCAGGGCCCAAGCACTCGGGCCATCCTCCACTGCACTCCCTGGCCACAGCAGAGAGCTGGCCTGGAAGAGGGGCAACTGGGACAGAATCCGGTGCCCCGACTGGGACTAGAACCCGGTGTGCCGGTGCTGCAAGGTGGAGGATTAGCCTAGTGAGCCACAGCGCCAGCGCACAAAGTTAGAATTTTTAAGGAAGTTTATACGGCATTTATAATAGCATGAAAAGAAATTATGATATATGTTAATTGAAGAAATGTTAAATATTTTACATACAATAGGACCAAAATTAGAATATGCATGAAAAACACATTGGAAAAAATTTGTCTAGGATTACATCAAGATGAGAAGCTTCCGCACTGCAAAAGAAACACTCAGCAACATGAAGAGGCAACCAACAGAATGGGAGAAAATATTTGCAAATATTTTTAATGTTAATATTATAAAAATGTTAATAAAAGATTAATATACAGAATCTGCAAAAAGTTCAAGAAACTCAACAGCAACCAAACAAACAATCCAGTTAAGAAATGGGCAAAGGACTTCAACAGGCCTTTTTTTAGCACTAATTATCACTGAAGTGTGTTCTAAGTGCCTCTTACCAAGGCATACAATGTTGATTTGTGTCATGACTAGTGAAAATATTTTAATTACTCATGGCAGATTTCATCCTGTGAAGTTTCCATTTTTTTCTCTTTGTAATTAGTAATATTTGGTGGTGAAACACCTTGAGGCTGGCTATCTATATCTATCTATCTATCTATCTATCTTAGTGAGTGCATGTGTGTGTGTGTGTGTGTGTGTGTGTGTTTCTAGTTTTAGCATTCACTGATAGCTCTGGCCTGAATCAGTTTTTATTGTAACAGTAGCCAAATGGTAAGGTGTCTAACCTATATTATCTCTTTTACATTTATTAGTTGACATTTTAATTTAACCAAGAGATTTTCCTTATCACTATTTTTCTAAAAATCCATTTATTTATTTCAGTGTGGTTTCAAGTATTCCTATTTTATTTAGTGGATTACAATTTATTAGTATTGGTGTTCAGATTTCCATAGATGTGGACAATGGAGGATCCTTCAAGCCAGTTTTGTGCCCCTTTGGTAGGCTTCATCATTCTGTGAGAATGCCCTTAATTTCTGGTGCAAAAAGATTTCCTGGCTCATCTTGTACTTTCCTCGCTCCTGTTCTGGAATCAAACATTTCTCCAAGGGTACCTAGTTTCTTTCATGGAGAAAGGTGGTTGGAAAGCAAATCTAGGTATTATGTGCCATTGCTTCTAGTTTACCACTGCTCCTAGACCCTTTTAGCAGAGAGAGCCAGAGAAAAAAAATCACACACACACACTTTGTATTATATGTTATTTCTAAATGTGATTGCACATGTATTAAAGACTATTAGTTCACACTGATATAGTCAGTTCTAAGTCAGCACCACCCAGAAGGGTCAAAGTGATATTTTTCTCTCAATTTGGAATTTTCTCTATGTCTTTCCAAAAGTTGCTCATATGTCTTTCCAAAGCTCCTAGCCTGTTTCTCAGATATTTACTCAGCAGTCTTAAATTCATTGCAGTTCTTGGATTATGTCAAATTTTCTCATGGGGAACACTATACTCCATTTTACCCAGAAACTCTTCCTAACCTTGACAACTATGCATTAGTTAGATCTTTACTTAAATATCACTGCTTTGAAATATTCCCCGGCCCAGACTGTATATCTGCAAGCTATCACAAAGATTGAGGCAAGAGATGATAACAGGTTATGTCAGCGAGTTGGATAGACTTGGAAATATATCCTGGAAATAACACTTGGCTAAGTATAAGCAGACAGTTATAACCTCTTTAAAAATGGGCACCTAAATTTCAGTTTTGAGGACAGATGAGAAGTACATGAAACAGCCACAATGCAAAGCTCCTAGAAGAAGCTCAATATATGTCCTTATTCACTGAATGAATATTAATGAAATACCAACTATTTGATAGTGTGGTAGATTCTGAGGATAGAGAGAGTAAAACACAATACAAACAATGAAATATGATTTCCAGAATCAGTGTCCAAATTCTAACAGGGGATAGAAGGAGTGTTTGCAGGAGTGAGTCAACCTGCTTAAGATTCAAAGGATGGGCAACATTTGGGCTGATAAATGCAGGAATGGAAGTATACAAGAAAAGCTTTTCAGGGAGAGAGAATGATAAGTGCAAGAACTTGGACATGAAAGGATATGGACTGCTTTGCATGGCACACAAAGCTGACTATTGCTCAAAACTGCATGATATACATAATGCAGTATTGCATAAAATTGAAACCAGGAGGTAATGAGATGTGAAACTAGTAAGGAAAACAGAATGTTTTGTATATCAGGCAAAGTCATTCGATCTACTGATGGCTTTTGAAGAATTTTCAGCAAAGCAATGTCATTACCGAACTTACACTTTTAGTGAGGTCATTCTGGTAGCGGCATGGAAAGTGGAGATTAAGAGTCAATACTGGAGTCAGAGGATTGGTAAAGGAGGCCATGTCAAAAATTCCAATGGGAAGGGTGGAAGGCTGGCATTAGCAGTTCGGGTTGAGCTGGCTGGACCATACACTGGGATTGGCAGAAAGACAGAATGCACATTGGTGTAAGAAGGTGCCTACAGGCATCTTACTCAAACACTGGGAGGATGATGGCAGGCTGAAGAGATTAAAGCAACATAAAAAGCCAGGAGTAGGTTTGCTGGATAGGAAGGTAGACATTAGCCTATGGGAAAGGGCCCAAACAAGAAGTACATGTGGAAAGGAAGGGAGCAGCCTTAGAAGCAAGCCTTGGAAGGCACCCAGTGTTTCCGGAAAGTCCTATCCATATCTGACAACCTTGTAGGGGTTGCCAGCCTTCCCTCCGGAGATCTCTCAGGACACTCTTCCTGGCCCTTTGCCAAGGTGGCTCTTAAATCTGGCAATAAAACCTTGCGAGGAATTTCACGAACTTCACCCCCAAAAAACCATTTGCCCAGCAATATCTGCCCCCTCGCCCACTCCCCAAAAAGGGAGCGGGAAGGCGACACAGCAGAAAGGGACCCCTAACTCACAGTAACCCCAGTCTGCATGTAGGCAATGCACTTGGTTTCTTTGGTGAGCCGAGCTGCCCACCATCTCGGATGAACTACCTCGTGAAACTTGGCTAGCTTGCTTACCGCTACTGTCTCCCACCTGAAATTCTTTTCTTACGGGATACACAAAATTCTTCCAGCCAGTTTTGGAGGGAAAAGTAGCACAGTTTGGTAATATTTCTTTCTCATCGCCTCCTCAGAGGTTCTGGAGAAACACTTGCCATCATTTATAAGATGCGGTGATGCCAGTGAGAATGGAGAAGCTGGCAACCAGAGAAACACACAAACTCTCTGGCCCTACAAATGAGGCAACAGGTTTCTGGTGCGTGGCTGCCAACTGCAGAAAACGGCCTCTCACTAAGCGTGGACGAGTAAGGCGTCTGGTGTTTTTCCATCCCTGGTGACTCAGAACCAAAGATGGCGCCTGTGGCAGAAATCTGCAAGGTGGGAGGGGGTCATCAGGTGTAGAAAGATGACGTTTTAATTTCTGTTCTACTTTCAAGGCAACTCAGCGCCAGACAAATCGTGGATAAGTTTTCCCGAAGACTCTGGAGTACAACTCCTCATTCTCCACGCTCTCAACGCGCGTTTCACTTTGTGGGGGCGACCGCGTGGGGTGCGACAAGTCTGTTTCTTGGCTTCCTCGCTTCATTCATTCAAGGTTCCTATCTTGGGCGGCTTCCAAGACCGCCTCCCCGCCTGCTTTTGCCCCACTTTTTCCCGCGCTTGCTTTTTTCCGGACGGAGGCCAAGCTCCGGCGGCTCTGAGGCGGCACCCGCGCATTCCCGCCTCCCCTCTGCTGGCCTGGGGATGAGATTCCTGCCCCTTCTAGAACCGCGGAGGCGCGGCCCCGGGGCGCGCGCCCGGCGGCAGGCTGAGGGGCGCGGGCAGACAGGCACTGCAGCAACTCCGGGCCCGCGGCGGAGGCGGAGAGAGCCTGGGGGCGGGGCCGCGGGAAGGGCGCTCCCGCAGGGCCCCCGTCCAGGCCTGGAGCCGGGCCGCATTGGTTGTCATGGGAACGGCGGCGTAGGCCGGCGCTGACGTCACCGGCGGCGCGCTGCCCGCACTGCGGCACCGAGCCCGCTCTCAGAGCCGGTGTTGCTGGCGGCTCCCGAGGCTGCGTAGGCTCCTCGCCCTCCCTGCTTGGGGCTGGGAGCCGCTTCGCGCCGCCCGGGGTGTAGGCTTGTGCGGGAGACGCGGCTCTGCGCTCTGGGTGAGTATCGTGTGGGTGCGCTGGTGGCGGGAGCCCGGACCCGGGTGTTCGGCCTACCTACCCCGGCCCCTCTGGAGGGGTGGCGGCGTTGGGGGCTCCCTCTGCGCCTCCGCAGGCCGAGCGGCCCAGAGCGGCCCAGCGCGGCCCGGGAAGGGGGCGACTTCTCCGGCGTCGGAGCGTCCGGCGTGCTGTTCCGATGCTGCCTCTCCCAGCCCGGATTCTGGCTCAGATGCGTAATAAGCGTGTTTATTTCCTTATAGAGTGTCAACCTGGCGCTGAATGTTGAACCTGTGAAGTGCCTTCTTAATGACACCCAGAAAAGGTGACGGATACGTTACGTTTCTAAGAAAAGAGTCAAATTCTGTTAGAGGCGTTTTGATAAACACAGAAAGGGGATGAGAGCCTTCCCGAGTGTCAGCGCGGCGTGTCAGCCTTAACCGGGAAAGTGGAGACAGGGCTTGCTCTTCTTTGGAGAGAGAGATGCTAACAGTTCCTTCACCTGTTGCGTTTACGCTCGCTGTTATTGCGAGCAAGAGCGCCAGTTAGGAGGATTCCGGGACGTGTTTAAAAGTCTCTTTGGAAGAATTGCAGATGCCACAGGTGTCTGAAACCGCATTTAGGATCTTTATGAAGGCGATTGTTGATTTACTAAGGGTTCTGATTTCTGTTCCTCCTTGGTACAGGTTTGGAGCCGGAGTGAATTCTGCGAGCCTGTCTGCTTCTCCCTCCCCCTTGATCTGTAGTCACATATTGGCTGCTGATCAGGTGGTCAGGGAGAAAGACGAAACGTAATCTCGGCTAAATTTTGCTACGCAGTATCTCTTAGAAGCTTTTGTGAAAGGGTTTGTGAGGGAGAAATGTTAACATCACGGGGTATATGAGATTTGGGAATATGTTTCCAAGTCAGACTTTAAATTTTGAAGCTGTTACTAATCAAATATTAATCATTAATTCTTCTAATGTGTTTGCTGTACATACTAAATAACATTTAGAGATGATGACTTGTAATGTTCTGTTATTAAATAGTATCTCTTATTTCAGTGGTCATTAAAATATTAAATGATAGTAAATGTAAATACAAAATTTACTTAATTGTGTATTGTGTAATTATTTTTAAAATAATTGTAGACATCGAGCACCTGCAGTTTACTGATTATGTTGTTTTCTGATATTTCTTTTTCTCCTTATGATTAAAATAGGGGCCACTTTAGTTTCCTAGACAAGGAAGAAACCAAGGCTTAATGAAACTGGCTTACCCAAGGCCACATGAAGTAGCATGACAGGAGCTCAAGCCTGAGTTTTTCCTATCTGGAGCCATAATTGCTGCCTTTTAAAAATGGAGATACTTATATAAAGATAGTGCAGGCTTGTTCTTCCAAAAGCCAGTAGTTGGGGGAGGGGGTTGCGGGATAGAGGGAGCAGCCAGTTTAGAACCATTTGTGCCAGGGTGAAAAGGGAAGTTGGAAGATCCAGCTGTGCTTTGGGGGAAGGTGCTCCCCAGGGAAGGTGCCATTTGCATTTAGTGTCAGAGTGTCAAAGCAGGGCAGGCTTTTCTCAGGAGAGAAGTGGGTATGTGACCTGCTACAAAGGCAGGAGAGAGTTTGGCGTTGGTCAGGCCCTGCAAGTAGTTTCACGTGGCTGGAGCCCAGAAGCTGTGTGAAGGTGTGGCGGTGAAGGGGCTGTGAGGAATGGCAAAGGATCCAGTCATTAATAGTCGTCTTCTCAGTGGTAAGGACTTGCCAGTGCTTTCCACCAGTCGATTGGGAACTGGTGAGGAATTTTAAAGCAATCACACACCACCATCACCTTTGTGTTTTAGAAAATGATCCTGAATGCAGTGCAGAGGGGTGGAAGGGAGGGTGGTCATGAGAAGCCTGAAAACAGTCTCAAGCAGACATCAAAATCCTAACAGTCTTTTCACCCCTGAAAGCTACTGCCTCATACTATTGCATCTCGAGTGGGAAGAAGACAGTTGGAAGCAAAATTCTAGAAAGAATTGCCTGCGTACCTTTACCGCAGGTCTTGCCTTTCATTCCTCAACCTGTGGCTCCCAGCTGCTGCCCCTCCATAAACAGCTTTGGCACACGTGACTTCATGATTACAGATCCAGCGGGCACTCCCAAAGTGTGCAGCAACTGTAGACACCACACAGCATAGACCTTTCTGAAAACTCTTTCCTTCTGTGATACTTTTCTGTCCCTGTGTTTCACCTACCTCCTCGTTCTAGAATTCAATCTTTGGCTTTTTATTTTCTTGCAACCATTGTACAAATATCTATAAATTATTCCCAAACCATCAGCCTAGGTCTCCTGCTGGATTAATGGATTAATATATTATTTTGCCTCCCAAACATAATATGATTATATGTCCTTTGTGTTCTCTCTCATATATATGTATATATCACACAGTAGTAAAGCAGCTCTCTCTTGAAGCATGTACCATGCAGTAGGCTTTGTGCCAACAGTTTTCCTTGCATATACTCATTTAATCTTTACAAAAACCCAGTGAATGATATTATTATTCTCTTTTGAAAGATGAGGAAATTGAGGTCCTTGTCAAATGGAGCTGGAATTTGAACCAAGGACCTGACGGTGGAATTGATGTTTGTAGCTACTTGGTGTCCTTCAGATACACAGCTCAAACTGCCCCACACAATCCCCTTAGGAAGTTCCTGTTAAAATTGTAGCTCATATTTGTTGGTCCTTGTTCTAAAGTACTGTTTAAATCATTTAGTCCTTTTAACAACCCTTTGAATAGGCAGGCTGGTTTTAAGGTTTAGGAGATCCATGGTCCACAGGCATACAAGTAACCATGGAGACTAATTCTAGAACTTAGGTTTCAGCCAGTTTACCACACTGCGCTATAATACAGCCAGTAATATTGCTGTCCTTATTCTGCTTTATACACATAGGAATATTTCTTGATTATTTCTCCTGCCTCTTTATTAGCTACCTAATTTTTTTTTAAGTGTCATAAATTTTCGGCTCAAAACAGGTTGTACCTAGTACATCCAAGCCTTTTTTTTTTATGACTTATAATTCAGTAGTGTTCTTGTATATTGAAGGACCATAGAATAGTACAGAAATGAAGTTCTCACTTGCTTTATAATTTTTCTACTTACATGCTATCAATTAGTGATTCTATCATTGCACTTGCCTTTTCAGTGTAGATTGGAAAGTGGTTGACCACCTGTCATTCAAGTAAACACAGACCCCTATCAGTAATTTGTAGCAGTTTTCACTATGTGGCTTTAATGATGTCTAGCTTGTCTTTCTACAAGTAGTTGTTATAAGTTAACTCCCATAAGTAGGTATGATTTTATAATAATCTTTTTCTTTTTAGCATTTGTTCTCAAGACCTTTCTGCTGGAGGACCATGAATGTGGATGCCCAGGGAACTGCAGTATTAACTAATAATGCCTGAGGAAGCCCAAGATATTTTTTATATCATCTTCAACTTCATTCTTAACAACAGTTGCATGTTCTATTCTAATATGCAAATCAGTTTGTTTATTTTAGATACATATTCCCATCTTTAAATGAAATCACAGTTCAGGAATGTACAGACTGCGTTTATCCATTAGTAGCCCAGGTTAATTAAATCAAAAAGAAGGTGCAAATGTTTGTGCTAGCCTTTCCTACTGTGATAGATTCTCAAATTTCCACCTACGGAGATACTTAATTCATTAGTTGTGAGAATTGCTACCCACAAGTGTATTTTGCTAGTATAATAGAGTATGCTCTGTGAAATGAGCAATGGAGATGGAGTTTCGGTTTCTTAAAAGCACATTAAAATCTTTAATTAAAGCACTTTTAAGAATTTATTAATTTACCAAGTGACACGTTTACTGCTTTTCAAAACTTTTTTAAGTATAGAAACATTTTATTCAAATATGATCAAGTTTGGGTCACATGCTTTTAAGACTATACAGATTCAGATGTACTCAGGTCATTTGCATAAGATTGAAATAAGAGAGCATAGCTTTATTGGTATAAACTTCATGAAGTAGTGGACTTGTACAGTGGCATAATCTTGGTTGAAGAGTGTTTTATTTATATTTTTTGGAAGTTCTGTATTACAAATAAATCTTTGTTTTAATAGGATCCTGATTGAGTCAGTGCTTTACATTATTTCCTAATGCTTGCCATAAAGCTGAGATATGCCTGCTGGTAAGACCTTTATGAAATTTATAAGATTCATATTCTACACATTTAAAGTTTGGTTAAAGAGGTTCTTTAACAGAATAATGAATAAAATAGATGTCATTGACTGAGTATTAGAGATATTTAATAAATTGCTATTCAGTTTTCTTTTTAATATTGATGATTAAGGTTCATATGTATTTAGGAATGGTAGTTATGGACACTGCTAGACAAGGTAAATAATGATTCCAGAATATAGTTAATTTTATTCTTTCTCATCAAAATTGTATGTTTCACTCTAAAGCAGGTATTGGCAAACTTTTTTTTTTTTTTTTTTTTTGACAGGCAGAGTGGACAGTGAGAGAAAGAGACAGAGAGAAAGGTCTTCCTTTTGCCGTTGGTTCACCCTCCAATGGCCGCCGCGGCCGGTGCGCTGCGGCCGGCGCACCGCGCTGATCTGATGGCAGGAGCCAGGTACTTCTCCTGGTCTCCCATGGGGTGCAGGGCCCAAGGACTTGGGCCATCCTCCACTGCACTCCCTGGCCACAGCAGAGAGCTG